ACCATCCCCAGCCCTGTAACTGACCACTGACCTGTCCTCTCACTCTTCCTCCATTCACTGAGGACTCAGCAGACCCTTGCTGCATTTCCTTTCCTCCCTCTCCCCCACTGCTTTGTGTCACATGACAGTAGAGACACTCCACCTAGGAGCCTGGTGGTACAAAAAAAAATCTTTGATCAACTCTAATCCTGTAAATGAAAAACTTTTATAATAACAATTTTAAAACACTGAAGAAGGAAATAGAAGATATCAGATAGTGAAAAGACCCCCCCATGTTCACAAATTGTCAGGATTAATACAGTGAAAGTAGCCATCTTCCCAGAACAATTGAGAGATTCAGTGCAATCTCTGTCAATTCAAACACAATTCTCCACAAAAACAGAAAATTAAAAACAAAAATTTCAGCTTTATATGGAAACACACACTACTTAGGATAGATTAAAACATGAATAATGAAAGAACTGCTTAATGTATCACCATCTCAGATTTCAAGTTGTGCTGCAGAATAATAGTCAGAAAAACAGGATTATAAATAAATAGACATGCTGATTGGTGGATTAGAATCAAAGACCCAGTCATAAGTTCACACACCTATGCACACCTCGTTTGATAAAGAAGCCCAAATACTACATACCAGCAAAAAGACAGCATCTTCAACAGATGGCTGTGGTCAAACTGAATGGCTACATGTAAAAGAGTGTAAACCGAATAATTTTTACTGCCCTGTACAAAACTCAAGTCCAAATGGATCAAGGACAAGAACATCCATCCAGATACTCTGAATCTAATAAATACAAATGTGGGATAATCTTGAACTCATTGGCCTAGGAAAAGAATTTTTGAACAGGACACTAATAGCACAGTGACTGTACTGCTATACTTTCTCATCAGGAACACCAATCTCAAATAATTATACAGAGTTATTATTAATTATGAAAGCTTGGCTTAGCTTAGGCTTGTTCCTAACTAGATCGTATGCCTGAAATTAACCCATATTTTTTTAATCTATGTTCTTCCACATGGCTCGTTACCTCATCTCCATACTGCCCAACTTGCTCTCTCCACTCTGGCTGCTGACTCTGCCTTTCTTCTTCCAGAAGTTCACTCTCTGCCCAGAAGTTATGCCAATTCTCTCCTGCCCAGCTATTGATTGTTCAGCTTTTTATTACACAAATCACAGCAATACATCTTCACACAGTGTACAAATATCCCAAAGCAAGCCATTAAAATAATAATTGAAAAGTGGAACTTCATGGAACTGAAAAGCTATGTATGGGCAAAGAACATCATCATTTGAACAACGTGGCAAGTTATAGAAAGGAAAAGTATCATTACCAATTGTACAGTTGATATAGGGCTGACATCTAAAACATAAGAAAAACTAAAAAGCCCAAATATCAAGAAAAGAAACAACTCAATTTAAGAAATAGGTACAGATCTAAAGAGAGTTCTCAAAAGATGAAACACAAATGACTGAGAAACACTTAAAAGTTCAAAACTCTTATTTTTCAGGGAAATGCAAATTAAAAATACTGGGAGATTTCATCTTACACACATCAGAATGGCCAAAATCAATAAAAAAAATGATATCATATGCTGGTGAAGATGTAGTTTAAGGGGAACACGCATCCATTGCAGTTGAGAGTGCAAACTTTAAGACTCACTAGGGACATAAGTATGGTGGTTCTTCAGGAAGACAGGAATAGATCCAGCTCAAGATTCAGCTAGACCACTTTTGGACGTATACTCATAGGACAATATATTCTGTTATAGAGACACTTGCTCATAGATATTCGTTGTAGTATTTATAATAACAAAAATTGGAAACAGCCTAGATGTCCATCAAGAGATGGATAGATAATGGAAATGTGGGACATGTCTACAATGAAATATCCCTCATCTATTAAGTCATGAAATTTAGATGTAAATTTATGGAGCTAGAAAAAAATCATCTTGAGTGAGGTAACCCCAACTACAAACAACAAATATAGTATGAATTCTCTGACATTTGGATTCTAGCTTTTAAGCCTTCAATAGGCTTGCCACAATCTGTATACCTGCAGAAGTTAGGGATAGAGTAAGAGAGAAGGAAGGATTTCCTGAATAGGTGAAAAATAGAATAGATAGTAAAGAGATTGGGTTGGAAGGGTGGAATACGAGGATTAAGCAGAAAGGAGGAAGGAACAGAGAATAAGGGTGGGAATACAGGGAGAGAGAAAGCACAAACTAAGCACATTCTGAGAGGTCATGGAAACCTTCTACAGCAGAAGCTTTATATATATATATATATATATATATATATATATATATATATGTATATACATATATATATAATATGTATATACATATATATTCCTAGTATATTCTTAATATAATGCACATATATTATATGAATCAATGAAATCACCAAATAACAGGGAAACAAAGCACCAGCTAGACACTTCCTACCAACAAGTGAAAACTCCAGTGCCAAGGAAGATGTCATCTAACTGAGTTGTTGGCCAAAGGGGACCCATGGAAATTTTCAACAACTCAGGCTATTACCAAGGCTATTGGTTGCTCTTTACAAATTGATGGTAAAGTACTATTCTTGTTGACAATATCTACAAATTTCTTTGAACATGGAAAAGTTGAGCTGGTTCCTAATTAAAGCTTTTACTCCTATGAACTTGTGTCCATGGTTCAGGAAGATACCCTGAATGCTACCAGAGGAGAAAGGTAAACACCACCTTGGCTATAAATCCTTTGATCTACAATAGTGACCACCATACATGATACACTGGTATGATAATGGCACAAGTGATATTGGAGTGACCAACCACATTCTGAATGGACTTAAGGCCCACTCCATGAGATGGAATCCATGCCTGATACTGCTCTGGTGGCCAAGAACCTGAGACTAGATAGGCTGTGGATCTAAGGGAAAACCAAATATCATTGTCCTCCTAAACATACATAGTAATATAATGACTTCTTATGACTTTCTGCATTACCCACAGATCAATGTCTTGTTTAGCCATCACCAGGGAAGCTTCTTCTTGCAGTAGATGGGAACAAACACATAGATCCACAACTCCTCAACTGGAAAATATGCAGACAATGAGAGACCTTGAAACACCCAGTTGTAAATGGAATGTCTCCATTAAACTTCTTCCCTCAGGATTCTGGAAATATTATAGAAGAAGAAGCAGAAATTGTATAAGAGCCAGTGGGGATGGAAGGCACTAAGGAAATAATGTCCTCCAGTCACAATAAATTTGGCTCACATAAGAACTCATGGAGATGACAGCAACATGCAAAGGGGCCATACAGGTCCTGTACAGAAGTGGTCCAGTGCTGAGAAGAAGAAGTGGACATCATCCCCCATACCTAACCAAGAAGCTGTCTACAATTGAAAACTGCTCACAAGGAGAAATTTAGTTTTTACCAATGCATTTCACTGGGTATACAAACCACACTTTAGGGTAGGCCTCATGCCCAGCAAATGAACTCAGTTGTATTTTTTGTTCTTTTGTTTATTTTTATGTCTCTTAATGCTTTTTGTGGGTCATTATTAACATATTTGTCCTTGCTTATATATTATCATTTCCAATTTTGTAGATTTATATATTTGTGTGTGTGTGTGTGTGTGTGTGTGCATGTGTCTTGGCAGTTATATGAGATTCTCATGCGAATTTGTTTTTTTCTGTTTGTTTTATTCTGTTTTTTTTTTCCAAGTCTCTGTTTTCTAAAAGGAGAAAAAGAAAGTGTGGAGTTAGATATGTGCAGAGGTAAGAACATGCCTATAAAGGTACAAGAAACTTACAGAACAAATAGATTGGACCAGAAGAGAAAGTTCCCTTGACATGTAATAAAACCCTGAACACATAGAACAAGGAAACTATATTAAAATCACAAAGGAAAAAGGCCAAGTAACATATAAAGGCAGACCAAGTAGAATTACATCCTATCAACGATTCCTACTGTAGAAGCTGTCACTTCTAATGTCACTACTTCCAGCCGTGCTCACATGGATCTTATTGACAATTAGGAATTGTTTATCATCTGAGAAGGGCAGATAATCTATATATGAAACAGATGTACTTGCAATGAAGATGAACATGAATGGATCACAAGTTGTCAGTGAATTTGTGAAACTCTAGAAAGTAAATGTTTTAGTCAATCCAGTCACTGTTGTAACCACTCAGCTGCTGTTTCAACGTGAAAACACAATGGACAGACAAACTGTGAATGAGTGAGCACGGCTGCTTTCCAGTTCCTTACAGAGACAAATGGCAGGACAGAGTTTTTCAACTGTGGGAGATAATCTGTCAACCCCTGAGAAACAGCAGTTGTATGGACAGTATTTAATTATTATATAATGAATTAGTCCCCTATGTGACCTATAAGAGGGTCATACTTTTACTTTTGAAAGCAATGTTTTAATGAGAAGTTATCCACACACACACACACACATATATATATATATATATATATATATATATATATATATATATTACATTACAGATGTGTAAATATTATGGTAGAATTAATTGCTGCAAATATTATTGTGATATAAATTCCAAATATATTTCTCTAGTTTGCCATTTATCTTTCGGTTCTGATCATTTTTATGTGAAATATTTGTTTTATATTGCATAATTGAATGCATTATATTTTTAAAATGATCAAGACATTGTAGAAATGACATCATGATTTAATAATAAGATTTGTTCACCTTGCCTTTCTACAACTTAATCTATCAAATCTTCACATTTAATTCTTTTATCAACTTCATATTGAACAGATGAGCTGGAAATGTTTGTATCATGCTCTCTAAACAAAGGATGGAAACAGTTGCTTTAAACTTTCAATTTTGAGAAATGATTCAAATGATTCTGGGATATGTAAGAGAAGTTTACATTTCATGACATTAGCACAAGCGTTTGATAAGTAGTGTTCATTTCAGTCACGCTGGCTGACGTTTCTGAACATTTAAGCTTCTCCAAGTCAGTGCTATGTCAATCTGAATTTAGCCATGAATTTCTGCTGTGGTAATTTTGGGTTTCCTCACAACTTCTCTGTAATTGGTGGAGATCTGATAAAGACACAGCTGTGAAAGGCCTCCTGTAGAGTCTCCCTGGGGCAGGGCTGTAGCTGCACACCCAGCTGCAGTTTGGGGCCAGGCTGCAGGCTTGCTGGGAGCACTGTGCATCAGTAGTACAGAGGTAGGTGCCTGAGTCCTCCAGCTGGGCATCTCTGATGTGCAGGGTGCTGTAGCGCTCCTTGGAGTTGAATGTTGACTTTAACCTCCCATTCTCCTTTGTTCCTGAAGCCAGGTAAAAAAGATTGATGAGGCTGCCCCCGGGATTCTGCTGGAACCATTGCACACTTTGCATGGTGGTAGAAAAATTGCATCTCAGAGCAGAACTGGTTCCCTCATGGAGACTCAGGGCTGGAGGACTCTGCTCCACCTCAACTCCTCTCACACCTGTTGGGAAACAAAAGCAAACCAGAATCAGTGAGAAGTTTTCACCCACACCTGTCTAATATCCCAGGAGACACCATGAGGAGACTGCACAGGAGCTTTGGGTTGGCTCATTCCCCTCCACCACTGACATTTCTGGAGAATCCCTAAGGAAACTTAGATGAGCACAACTCACAGCAAGTCCACAACCACAGAATCCCCAGCACAGCTCCCAGTTTCCTCTCCATGGCCCCTTTCCAATTGCTGGGGTGTCTTCTCTCCAGCTCTGAGGGGGTATCAAGCCTTGTGCCCAGACATACTTGTGCTTACACACACAAGTTTCTCTCCAAGTTGCTGAATGTTCTCTTTCATCTGAACAAGAAACTCCACCCACCTTCACCTCACTACTCTCCATAACAACTGCTCCACAGCTAAGGAGAACAATATGCAGACCCAGAACACTATATTTCTAAGGTAACATTTCATATAAGGGGAGTTTGGGGAAAATGTGTGAGGGAGGAAAATTCATAAATGCAGAATACTGGTGTGAACACTGATGGCTCCAGTGGGTTAGAAGAGCTTTGCAGAATCCTAGCAAGATTTGTTTGCCTTTTTTTTGTAAAAGAATTTCATACAATATATTCTAAACACGGTCTCCAAACTTCAAACTCTTCCTAGATGTTTTCTATCTCCTCATCTACCCGACAGCATGCCCTTTCATTCTCATTTGCTCCCTCTCCCTCCCTCTCTCTCTGCTTCCCCGAGCAAACAGACAAACAAGCACATCAAAGTCAAAACATAATAACAATCAAGAAACACATACAACCAAACCCATAAAACACAAGACAAGTAAATATAAAATATAGACAAAAGACCAATAAGACCAAAAAAGGAAAAGAAAAAAATCAAACTAAGCATTATGCTAAAAAAAAAAAATGCCATTGGTTTCATTCTCAGTCTGTACTGGCCAACAACTACTGGGCTTGGGATCACCCTTCAATATAGTTGATATACTGAATGAGAAATTCCTGCACCTTAAGTCATACAGTGGGACAAATCAGCATGCAGTACACTATAAGGGGTAAGAAGAATTTCTTGATTTATCAGATCATCATGTGCATACAAAATGTTCCCAAGGACAGTTTTATTGGTCATAAGAAAAACAAGGCATGTTTTCACCATTATTTATTTTCCATTTTTTCCTCATATGCCCTGCTCTTTCCCACAGTTGTTTAGGAAAGCACAGCTGATTCCAACCAGGCTTTGAATGCCTGCTCAAGTTCAGAGAGGCCTCCTAACTTCTACTTTTTCATACCTTGTATTTCCCAGTTTTCTTAAGTAGTTATTCTTTTTCTTTCTAGTTTAGAGTATATATCTATATAGATATCTATATAGATATCTATATAGATATATAGATATAGATATATGATATAAAGAAAGAAAGAAACATAGATAGATAGATAGATAGATAGATAGATAGATAGATAGATAGATAGACAGTCATCACATATATATCATATACAATATAAAAATATTGGAATAATTTCTAGGTTTTTTATTTTGAGAAATTTTTAAAATAAAACTAGAAGCAATGAATGCAATGGAGATATTTTCTCTTCAGTGTCCATCCTCATAATGCCCAGTGAGATTCTATTTTGCTTACATCTGTTCAGAGAATTGTTCTTAAAATAGATTTATGGATGCAGCGGATTCAGTTAACAGGCTCTCTATAACTATGGTTTTATATAGAATGACTGAGAGCTAAGATCCAGTGAACTCCACACAGTCCCCTTACTCCTTGCTTTGTGGGTTGTTGCCTCATGTCTCTTCTCAGCTCTTCAAATCTCTAGGTAATTTAAGAAAATGTCATTTCTGTAAATCCTGCAGCGCCCCCTAGTGGACTGACACCACCACCAAAAGAGACTTCCGGCCATCTCCACAAGTCTCAATAAACCAGCCTTTTCACTCCATCACTTCCTGGTGAAGGAAATGCAGGTGGTCAGAAGACAAGACTGTCTAGATGGAGTTCTCAAAAGAGTAAATAAAAAATGGCCAAGAAACATCTCAAAATTGTTCATCATCTTTAGCAATTTGAAAAATGCAAATTAAAACAACTTTGAGATTTCATCCCACCCCAGTTAGAGTATCTCAAATCAATAAATACAACTGACAACAAATGCTGGTGAGTGTGGTTGGAAGGAAAGGAACCTGCATTCACTGTTGGTAGAATGAAAATTGGTACAGTTACTCTGAAAATAGGTATGGAGAATCTTCAAAAACTAAAGATAAATCTACCACATAACCCAGCTGTGCCACTTCTTGGTATATGTCTAAAGAACTCTACATCTTACTCCACAGATAGTTGCTTTGCTATATTCATTGCTGCTCTACTCACAGTAATTAGGAAATGGAAACAACTGAAATGTCCTTCAAGGGATGAATGGATAGTAAAAATGTGGCACCTATACGTTATGGAATATTCTTCAATGTAAAGAAAAATGGCATCATAAACTTTTCAGGTAGGTGGATGGAACTAGAAAAGATTATTTAAAATGAGTTGACAGAGAACCAGAAAAACAAATGCCACATGTTCTGCCACTGAACTCCTAACTACAGTGGGAATTGGAGAGGCTCCTAACTCCAAATCTTCAGATGGAAATATGTAACTTGGAGAAACCACAGAAGCCAGAAAGATCCAAAAGGGAACATGTAGTTGGGGAGAAGCACTAGAAATGGGAATGGCAAAGTAAGCATAATTTCGGCGTAGAGGTTCAGAATTGAGATGTCATCTTCGTGGATTTTTCCTTTGATGAGTATGAAGTGTCCTTCCCCACCTCTGTTAATTTTGGTTGGAAGTCTATTTTGTTAAATGTTAGGATGGCAACACTAGCTTGCTTCATGGGTTGGTTTGCTTAGAAAATCTTTTTAAACCCTTTAATCCGAGTTAATGTGTGTCTTTGATGTTGAGGTGTGTTTCTTGTATGCAGCAGAAGGATGAATTCTGTTTTTACATTCATTCTGTAAGCCGATGTCTTTTTATCAGGATATTGAAGCCACTGATATTGAGAGATGTTAGTTAACAATGATTGTTAATTATTGTTATTTTAGTGGTGGTGGTGGTGGTGGCAGTAGTAGTCAGTGTGTGTGTGTGTGTGTGTGTGTGTGTGTGTGTGTGTGTGTGTGTGTGTATGCTTCCCTTCTTTTGGTTTGCTGGTATGAAATTATTATTTACTGTGTTTTCTTGGGTGTAGTTAACCTTTCTTCAGGTGCAGTTTTCCTTCTAGTACCTTCTTTATGGGTGGATTCATGAATAGCTAATGTTTAAATTTGACTTTGTCATTAAATATTTTGTCTTCTCCATCTATGTTTATTGAAAGTTTTGCTGGGTTTAGTAGTCTGGGCTAGAATCTGTGACTTCTTAGATCCTGCATGACATCTAGCTAGACCGTTTTGGCTTTTAGAGTCTCCACTGAGAAGTTGGGTGTAATTTTAATAGCTCTGCCTTTATATGTTACTTGGCCTTTTCCCCTTGCCACTTTTAATATTCTTTTTTGTTCTGTATATTTAGTGTTTTGATTATTATGTTGCAGGGGAACTTTCTTTTCTGGTCCAATCTTTTTGGTGTTCTATAAGCTTTTTGTATCGATTAGCATCTTCTTCTTTAGGTTAGGAAAAATTTCTATGATTTTGTTGAAAATATTTTCTGGGACTTTGAGCTGGAAATTTTCTCTTTTTTCTATTTCCATTATTCTCAGGTTTGGTCTTTTCATAGTGTCCCAGATCTCCTGATGCTTTGTATCAGGAACTTTTAGATTTAAAATTCTCTTTGACCAATATATCAATTTTTTCCATTGTATGTTATATGCCTGAGAGTCTCTCTTCCATCTCTTGCATTCTGTTAGTGATGTTTGCTTCTGTAGCTCCTGATCGCCAACCCTGACACATGCCTGACCTCAGCTGCTTTCCTTAGTCTCAGGGGCAAATTCTATAGCTCCTTTCTTCTCGCCTTAACTCCAGAACCATCTGGCCAAAAGTGCCAAATTCTGCTGATTGCTGGGACTGGAACATGGCTCCCTCATTCAATTACATCTTCACCAGCTTTCTGTCTTTCACTGTCTAAGCTAGGCTGTCCTGAACTGGCTTTGTAGACAAGGCTGGCCTCAAACCCAGAGATCTGACAGCCTCTGCCTTCCCAGTGCTGGGATTAAAGGCATGCAGCATCACACCCCACTCTAAGCTTTTGTTTAATTCCTTTTCACAAGTTGGAAACTTAGGTGGGTGAGATCTTGCTCTGAGGTCACCACTCCCTTTATTCTATTTCTTAATCAATTTGTCTCCTTGAATACAGGACTTAGTTCCATTCCCTTTTCTTGTATTCTTTTTTCTCCTTAAATATTTTTCCTTGCTCAGCTTGCTCTTTTTCATATATATATATATATATATATATATATATATATATATATATATATATCTTCATTTGAGATACCACCAAGAACTACACAACAGAGTCTATACTAGGCTGTTTTGAGATTTCTACTGCCAATGGGATTAGTACCTCAGGCAGACTCTGGACAAAAGCAAAAAGCAGCCGCATTCTTCACCAAAATATCACAAGAACAATCTGTAGGCAACACACTAAAATTCTCCTCTGAAATCTCTTGAGCCAGTCTCCAGCAGTTCAAATAACTCTTAGTGCCACTCTCTTCCATGCTCCTACTAGTATGGCTCATTCAACAATGCTTAAAGCATTCTACTCTTTTTTAATGCATAGTCGTACGGTAGTATTCCTACAGACCAAAGTATGGTCAGGCCTATCACAGCAATACTCCAGTTGCTGGTATCAACTTCTGTCTTAATTAGGGTTCTTATAGCTGTGAAGAGACATCATGACTATGGCAACTCTTATAAAGAAAAAACATTTAATTGAGGTGGCTTGCTTAAAGTTCCAGAGGTTCAGTTCATTATCATCATGGTGGGGTTCATGGTGGTGGGCAGGCAGATATGGTGCTGGCTACATCATGATCAGGAAGCAACAGCAAGTAGACAGTCTCACTGGATATGGCTTGAGCATATATGGACCCTCCAAGCCTGCCTCCACAGTGACACACTTCTTCCAATAAGAATATATCTATAAACATTCCATACCAGCAAAGCCATACTTCCTAATAGTGCCTCTCCCTTTGGGGGCCATTTTCTTTCAAACTACCACATCCAGATTTTCCATTTCCAGTATTCCCTTAGTTTGTGT